GCCCCATCCTCCCTCTGGAGAGCAGAGCTACCCACCACTACAACAGGCTTTTTGCCCTGAGCCAGGACCTGAAATACAAAAACAAAATTTTATCAAATTCTGACATCATGCTTACAGACAACGTATGACTTAACGCTCCAAATAAACTCTAACACTGATATTAAATGCTACCTTGCAGAACGGGTGTGTTCCAGCGGCGATCTCCTGCAGAACTTGTGTGGTTTCACCCAAATGGTTGTAAGAGTAGCTCAGGTCCACCTTATGACCCACCATGGCCACCTGGAGCTCATTATGCAGCCAACTGAAAGATGAAGATAAATAAAGTAAACCGTGAGGTGGAGTAAAATGACACCCGGTCAACTTTTTTCAACTGTGGCAAATGGTTGTACAATGGTTATACCTCTTACGGACACGTGCATTGAAGAGAGGAGCCTCATAACGTGGGTTTGTTCCAACCAAAAGCATAAGGTCACACTCCTCAATGCCAGTGATACGGCTGTTCAAGAGGTAATTGGAGCGCAGGTCGGTTCTAAGGAGACAAGGCCAAAAATGGTTTAAATCCCTAATAGTAAGATTGAAAGGTTAGTTCAAACAAAAATTGTCATCAATTACTCACCCCAGCTAATAGTTAAAACATTTTTCATTTAAGTCTTTCAGAGACATCATGAAAATAATCCAGTTCTTGCTTGAGGAATAAGTTTCGTTCTTGCATGTCACACAAGCATGTTTGAGTGTCCCCAAGAACCGATGAGGTTTGTTCTCAATCAAATACAGATGAGCTGCACTTGACCGTATTTAATGTGCTCCATGTATGTGTTGATCAATGTTTACATGTGAATAAAAGCCTGAATTAAATCTGTTCATCAAGAAACCCATGCCAAGACCTGGATTAAACATCTTGATTTATATGGATATGTTTTATGAACTTTTATGAAAAGTTTTATTAACTTTTAGAAGCTTGAAATTTTGATGGATTAGACTGGATTTTTTTTTTTAAACAGAACAACTTGAGGGTGAGTAAATAATGGCAGAATTTTAATTTCTGGGTGAAATATCCATTTAAGCTAATCAGTACCTCAAACATCAAGACTGATAATAACATGATCAGAAGTTGCATTTTGAATAAAGAACAACATTTTTACATCTGAAGAAATGAGTGGTGCTTGCATTGCAAAGTAGTTGCTGAAATATGGTCACTAGGCTGATACTTGCTTGCACAAGTTAAATCCTTAAGGTACGCTATTTACCTCATGATATGAGCAATGACACTGGTTTTCAAGTAATTATTAGTAGTTAGTAATAGTTATGGTACTCCAAACATCACTATGTAAAGATATGATATGACTGAAATCAGGACAGACATCACTCTCATTTCAGTCTCAAGAAAGATACGTCTGATCAGATGAGTACTCACCCGGCACCTGCCATTGGGAAGATCTCCTCAGTGCAGAGGGTGTCACTGTCCAGTCTGTTCAGTAGGTCCTTCAGTGCCACCAGTGCTTCGGCATCTACCATCCCACCCGCAATAGCTCCTACCTCAGAACCCTGAACTCCCTGGAGCTGAAAACACAAATCACAACCACTGAAATCTGTTGTCTTCAAATGACAAAGCTGGCTGATTCTGGTTAAAGCTGATTCTGGTTTATATGCAATCACTCACTGCTCCAGCCACACGTGTAAGAACATCCTCCCAGGTGGTGGCTACCAGCTGTCCACTGGCATCCTTCACCATTGGCTGGATCAGGCGCTGCCTCTTCAGTCCATCATATGAAAACCTTAGAGAGGGTGAGCCAGAAACAGGACAGTGGACTACGCATGAGTGTGTGTAAATGGAGAGAGAATGTTTTCATATTTTAAGAGCTTATGTGCTTACCTGGTCTTGTCGGATATCCATTCTTCATTGACATCCTCATTCAGACGGGGCAGAATTCTCATGACCTCACCACCCCTGGTGCTCACCACAATGTTGGAGCCAACAGCATCCAGCACATCAATAGATTCAGTCTTTCTGTAGACACATCAGCAAAGCATGTTCAAAAAGCAAAGAGGACACACATTCACCAAGTAATCCACTATTAAAAGGCAGCATAATGAAATATATATATATATATATATAAATATAAGGATCAAAGTGTACACAGGAGAACAAATAATCTCTCAGGATTGTACCTGGTCTCCCAGGGTCGTGCAGTGAAGGCGTAAGGTTTGGACGTCAGTGCTCCAACAGGACACAAGTCAATCACGTTACCAGACAATTCAGACATGAACATCTTCTCTACGTAGGTACCAATCTGCATGGAGTTACCGCGTCCTGTGGTTCCCAGGTCCTCCACACCAGCAACCTCACTGGCAAAACTGTGAAGTTATAAAAAATATTAGTATATTTGATGAATCGCTAGAGCAATTTCTTTAACACTAAAAAACTTGTATACATAACTTTATACAGTAGCTATCATGGAGTAGCGTTAGATGAAAATTCTTCTGCTTTTATTGTAAATGTAAAACCTAAAATAAAATATATATAAATTAATAATTACTAATAATTTAAATTCAATTAATAATTCAGTGTTTTCATGGCACATAAAAACAAGTTATTTTTGGTGGTGGAGCCAGTAAATGCGTCCACAGGGCAAGCAGATAAACTACTAATCCAACTGGGTCATCAGAAAAAAAAAATCTTGTTGTTGGGCTCTGCATTACATACGTTTTATGCATTTACGTAGCTTTCAGTATAATAAACCTCCAACTCACCGAACACAACGTGTGCAATGTATACAGCGGGTCATGATTGTTTTAATAAGCGGGCCGATGTTCTTATCTTCAACTGCTCTCTTCCCTTCTGTAAAACGGCTTCTGTCAGCACCAAACATCATCGATTGGTCCTATATATCCAGCACAACATCAAGATGGGTAAAAACTGAATTAGGCATAATTCTATTTACATTCTTGAGTGCATACTCAAGTTCACAGTCAAGTTCCATTAAATTGCTGTAAGTGTAAACAATATTTTTTTTACCTGAAGATCGCACTCTCCTCCCTGATCACAGATTGGACAGTCAAGAGGGTGGTTGGAAAGCAGGAACTCCATGACTCCCTCTCTATCAAAGACACAACAACAAATACAAATTAATAAATGCACTGTATGTAATGTGATGCGTGAACATTATTTGTAAAGCAAGAAACTACTCAAACCTGGCTTTCCGTGTTTTCTCTGAGTTGGTCAAAATGTTCCACCCCTTCATGACAGGCATTGCACATGCTGCAACAGGCTGTTGATGGAAGTACAGATTTTAAAAAAGTGCTTATACAAAGACTCGTCATGTATTTTGATCGATAATGTGATAACAATGATGTTATAATTATAGTGCATGTCAATAGGTTACCTTTGGTGCTTTCTCGATTTCCACCAGACACATGCGGCAGTTACCGGCCACTGACAGACGATCATGATAACAGAAACGAGGAATCTGCACACCTACTTTCTCGCAAGTCTAAACACATTAGGCATGTCAACATACTACATGGAATGTACAACTTTACATGGAATTAATAAAAGGAAATGGTCACTGCATTATCACCTGTAGAACAGTGGTCCCTGGCTCCACCATGACAGGTTTTCCATCTACAAACACTTCAACCATATTGCTTGAGGCCCGGGCTGAAGTCCGCACTGTTGTAAAAACAAGCCAGTGTTAGAAAATGATGGACAAGTCAGTAAAGTTGCTTAGCATTCTTAAAGAAGGGCATTACACTTGATTTTCAAAGATGAAAAAAATAATGCAAATTACCATTGTTAGTGGTGGCAATGGAGCCCTTGGAATGGGCAGCACCTGCCAAAGCCCGACTTACTGCTGGCAAACGCAACATGTTCGCTGTAGAAGAAAATGCCAGGTGATTAGAAGCACACGTAACATGTTGATCCCCAGTATTTAATGAATAGTATCTAGGTTAACAATGGATAAATATGCTGCTCTACTCTGAAACACAAGGACACTGTAAAGAAATAGACACAATAAAATCATACTGATCAGACCCAAGATATGCAATTGACAGTATTAATTATAAATTCTTTATTTATTCACATTTCTGCATAGTGCAGACAGTCAGCACAACAAATCTTTGGCAAGGATTACAAAACCTAAGATTTTATAACACCCATAAAACAACATGCTTCTGCCCTAAAAAAAGCATGAAGGCACAATATTTATAAAACAAAACAATTTTAAATGTATATGGGTATTGCACTGTAAAGGAAAAGTAGCTCAAACACTTAAAATGAAAAACTAATGCTGTTGACATTTCCATCTATTCACACACTGGTTAGCAGGCTAGCACTGCAGATTACTCAAGGACAGGGAGAACGTTACTGTAAATTACCCGTGCTTCGCATGCATTTATAATTCCAGCCGTCACACAAAAAGTAAATATCCAGACAATATGCCCTTTACACTTTAATATACACAAAAGATCATAAATTCTTACCTTGACGCTATTTGGCCTTCTAGACCAGAACAGCGTTACAGCCGTAGGTTCAGTTGTGAATGTGTACTCGGGTGATTTCGGAAATGACGGAAAAAGCCGATGCACATTAATCTTTGAAAAAAAGACAAAAACATTTTATTAAGTCAGATTGTTCTATAATATAGGAAATTCATACACGTATGTTAAAATACATTAATATATTAAATACATTTTATATGATTAATCTAACTTTTGTCCTTGACCTTTTACATTTATTCGTCGTCATTTCCGCTCATAAAAGCGGTCGTTTCCGTCTCTTATTTCACGTTAAAAGCCAACCAGTCAACACTGTTTTCGGTATCTGTGAAAAACGGTAGATGATTATCGTGCCGTCTTTATTGTCTATAAAAGTTAAGCTTTCCATACCTAGAGCAAATTGCTATGTTTTTTCCATACCTAGAGCAAATGTTCAATTTTCGTATGTTTTTGCTAAAATGTCAAGAGTGGGCGGAGTTATGGCGTCAGCGGTATTAAGACAGTCTCGCGTTCTTTTCTCGTTCCTTCGCTCTTCCTCCAAGTTCAGGGTTCCACGTTTGTACACGAGGTCTCACCGGTAACTTCTAACAATGGGATTTGGTGATCTCAAAACACCCGCTGGACTCAAGGTTCTGAATGAGTTTCTGGCAGACAAAAGTTACGTCGAGGGGTAAGCTATTTCAAGACTTTATTTATCAAGTCTTTGTTGGCTTGCAACAACTTGTGATTGGCCTCTTTTTCTTATGCTGTAATGCTAAAATAATTTTGGATGCAGTTATAAATGTCAAAGGTCATGGTTATTAATTTTCGTAGCTATGAATAATATGTACACTACCGGTCAAAAGTTTGGGATCAGAACGATTTTTAATGTTTTTTACAGGAGTTTCTTATGCTCATCAATGCTGCATTTATTTGATCAAAAATACAGGGAAAAAATGAAATATTGTGAAATATTATGATGTTAAATAACATTTTTCTATTTTAATATACATTAAAGTCTAATTTATTCCTGTGATACAAAGCTGAATTTTCAGCATCATTACTCCAGTCTTCAGTGTCACATGATCCTTCAGAAATCATTCTAATATGCTGATTTATTATCAGTGCTGGAAACTGTTGTGCTGAGTAATATTTTTTTGGAACCTGTGATACTTTTTTTTTTCAGGATTCTTTGATGAATAAAAAGTTAAAAAGAAGAGCATTTATTTAAAATAGAAATCTTTTCTGGAGCCAGTAAATGCGTCCACAGGGCAAGCAGATAAACTACTAATCCAACTGGGTCATCAGAAAAAAAAAATCTTGTTGTTGGGCTCTGCATTACATACGTTTTATGCATTTACGTAGCTTTCAGTATAATAAACCTCCAACTCACCGAACACAACGTGTGCAATGTATACAGCGGGTCATGATTGTTTTAATGAGCGGGCCGATGTTCTTATCTTCAACTGCTCTCTTCCCTTCTGTAAAACGGCTTCTGTCAGCACCAAACATCATCGATTGGTCCTATATATCCAGCACAACATCAAGATGGGTAAAAACTGAATTAGGCATAATTCTATTTACATTCTTGAGTGCATACTCAAGTTCACAGTCAAGTTCCATTAAATTGCTGTAAGTGTAAACAATATTTTTTTTACCTGAAGATCGCACTCTCCTCCCTGATCACAGATTGGACAGTCAAGAGGGTGGTTGGAAAGCAGGAACTCCATGACTCCCTCTCTATCAAAGACACAACAACAAATACAAATTAATAAATGCACTGTATGTAATGTGATGCGTGAACATTATTTGTAAAGCAAGAAACTACTCAAACCTGGCTTTCCGTGTTTTCTCTGAGTTGGTCAAAATGTTCCACCCCTTCATGACAGGCATTGCACATGCTGCAACAGGCTGTTGATGGAAGTACAGATTTTAAAAAAGTGCTTATACAAAGACTCGTCATGTATTTTGATCGATAATGTGATAACAATGATGTTATAATTATAGTGCATGTCAATAGGTTACCTTTGGTGCTTTCTCGATTTCCACCAGACACATGCGGCAGTTACCGGCCACTGACAGACGATCATGATAACAGAAACGAGGAATCTGCACACCTACTTTCTCGCAAGTCTAAACACATTAGGCATGTCAACATACTACATGGAATGTACAACTTTACATGGAATTAATAAAAGGAAATGGTCACTGCATTATCACCTGTAGAACAGTGGTCCCTGGCTCCACCATGACAGGTTTTCCATCTACAAACACTTCAACCATATTGCTTGAGGCCCGGGCTGAAGTCCGCACTGTTGTAAAAACAAGCCAGTGTTAGAAAATGATGGACAAGTCAGTAAAGTTGCTTAGCATTCTTAAAGAAGGGCATTACACTTGATTTTCAAAGATGAAAAAAATAATGCAAATTACCATTGTTAGTGGTGGCAATGGAGCCCTTGGAATGGGCAGCACCTGCCAAAGCCCGACTTACTGCTGGCAAACGCAACATGTTCGCTGTAGAAGAAAATGCCAGGTGATTAGAAGCACACGTAACATGTTGATCCCCAGTATTTAATGAATAGTATCTAGGTTAACAATGGATAAATATGCTGCTCTACTCTGAAACACAAGGACACTGTAAAGAAATAGACACAATAAAATCATACTGATCAGACCCAAGATATGCAATTGACAGTATTAATTATAAATTCTTTATTTATTCACATTTCTGCATAGTGCAGACAGTCAGCACAACAAATCTTTGGCAAGGATTACAAAACCTAAGATTTTATAACACCCATAAAACAACATGCTTCTGCCCTAAAAAAAGCATGAAGGCACAATATTTATAAAACAAAACAATTTTAAATGTATATGGGTATTGCACTGTAAAGGAAAAGTAGCTCAAACACTTAAAATGAAAAACTAATGCTGTTGACATTTCCATCTATTCACACACTGGTTAGCAGGCTAGCACTGCAGATTACTCAAGGACAGGGAGAACGTTACTGTAAATTACCCGTGCTTCGCATGCATTTATAATTCCAGCCGTCACACAAAAAGTAAATATCCAGACAATATGCCCTTTACACTTTAATATACACAAAAGATCATAAATTCTTACCTTGACGCTATTTGGCCTTCTAGACCAGAACAGCGTTACAGCCGTAGGTTCAGTTGTGAATGTGTACTCGGGTGATTTCGGAAATGACGGAAAAAGCCGATGCACATTAATCTTTGAAAAAAAGACAAAAACATTTTATTAAGTCAGATTGTTCTATAATATAGGAAATTCATACACGTATGTTAAAATACATTAATATATTAAATACATTTTATATGATTAATCTAACTTTTGTCCTTGACCTTTTACATTTATTCGTCGTCATTTCCGCTCATAAAAGCGGTCGTTTCCGTCTCTTATTTCACGTTAAAAGCCAACCAGTCAACACTGTTTTCGGTATCTGTGAAAAACGGTAGATGATTATCGTGCCGTCTTTATTGTCTATAAAAGTTAAGCTTTCCATACCTAGAGCAAATTGCTATGTTTTTTCCATACCTAGAGCAAATGTTCAATTTTCGTATGTTTTTGCTAAAATGTCAAGAGTGGGCGGAGTTATGGCGTCAGCGGTATTAAGACAGTCTCGCGTTCTTTTCTCGTTCCTTCGCTCTTCCTCCAAGTTCAGGGTTCCACGTTTGTACACGAGGTCTCACCGGTAACTTCTAACAATGGGATTTGGTGATCTCAAAACACCCGCTGGACTCAAGGTTCTGAATGAGTTTCTGGCAGACAAAAGTTACGTCGAGGGGTAAGCTATTTCAAGACTTTATTTATCAAGTCTTTGTTGGCTTGCAACAACTTGTGATTGGCCTCTTTTTCTTATGCTGTAATGCTAAAATAATTTTGGATGCAGTTATAAATGTCAAAGGTCATGGTTATTAATTTTCGTAGCTATGAATAATATGTACACTACCGGTCAAAAGTTTGGGATCAGAACGATTTTTAATGTTTTTTACAGGAGTTTCTTATGCTCATCAATGCTGCATTTATTTGATCAAAAATACAGGGAAAAAATGAAATATTGTGAAATATTATGATGTTAAATAACATTTTTCTATTTTAATATACATTAAAGTCTAATTTATTCCTGTGATACAAAGCTGAATTTTCAGCATCATTACTCCAGTCTTCAGTGTCACATGATCCTTCAGAAATCATTCTAATATGCTGATTTATTATCAGTGCTGGAAACTGTTGTGCTGAGTAATATTTTTTTGGAACCTGTGATACTTTTTTTTTTCAGGATTCTTTGATGAATAAAAAGTTAAAAAGAAGAGCATTTATTAAAAATATAAATCTTTTCTAACAATATACACTACAGTTTTGAAATAAATTAACTTCTATTCAGCAAGGATGTGTTAAATTGTTAATAAGTGATAGCAAAGATTTATATTGTTAGAAAAGATTTATATTTTGAATAAATGCTGTTTTTAACTTTTTTTATTCGTCAAAGAATCCTGACAAAAGTATTGCAGTTTCCAAAAAAATATTTGGCAGCACAACTGTTGCCAACATCGATAATTTCAGCTTTGTAAAGTTATTGTGAATTTATGCCTGATTTACAGGGAATTCCCAGGCAAACACTTGAAAGTAAACGCTTACATTGTGGGAATGAATATCCAATGCCTGGTTAGTTTAAAAATTCATATGCATTTTACTTAAGAATGAATGAGAAATTTGTGTTTGCTACATGAAATCTTGCTATCTTTAGTTTGAATTCCAAGTCTTACTGATCCCAAACTTTTGACTGGTAGTGTATGTACAATCAAACATTGTAGGTAGGGTCTGTATTTGTAGTAGTTCCCCTCCCCCAAGTGTTTGCCAAGTGCCACATTTTCATTGCTGTACTGTGGATCCATTTGTAAATATTATGCAATTATATAATTTAATCCATTCATAAATGCCTCTTATTGCTCATGGAGAAAACACCAGCCTCACTACACATTTAAAGGCTCAATACTCATTTTCTTAACAGGTATGTGCCCTCTCAGGCTGATATTGCAGTGTTCGATGCTCTGTCTGGCACCCCCTCAGCTGACCTCTGCCATGCTTTGCGGTGGTACAACCACATCAAGTCTTACCAGAAGGAGAAGGGCAGGTAATGAGAAGCTTGTTTGTAATATTTAATGTTTTGTAGGTACTTCCACCAATATATGATGATTATCCTATCACCATCTTTCGCCTGAGTGACTGATGCACAATCTTTCAAATTCTGATTTGGCTGGGAATTCACAAGACTGTCAGGTGCTCTTGTGCAGTAACAAGGATTCACTCTCCTTTCCTTACCTTTAGTCTTCCAGGTGTGAAGAAGCCTCTCAGTCAGTACGGCCCTGCTGGTGTGGAGGACACAACTGCAGCAGCTCCTGCAGCGGCTGATGAAGACGACGATGACATTGATCTGTTTGGTTCTGATGAGGAAGAGGTGAGTTTAGTAGCAGAAGGGATGGCGTGTTTTGACAGAATTGCCTGGTGAAATGATGATTTTTCTCACCATCTTTCGGCTGATGTTGTGATGGACAACCTTTTCTTCCTGAAAACCAGTTAGTAAAATATGACCATGCTGTTGCTGTAAGTTTGTGCACACCTGGTCATGGATCTCTTTCTTTACAGGATGAGGAAACCAAAAAGATCAAGGAGGAGAGGCTTGCAGCATACAATGCAAAGAAGGCAAAGAGTATGTATTAACCGTCTCTTAAATGCACACTACTGGTCAAATAATTGAGATTTACACTTTTTGAAGACTTTTATGCTCACCAAGGAAATCATAAATCATTCTGATGTGCTGATTTGGTGGTCCGTTATCAATAATAGTTCTCATCAATGTTGAAAACAGTTTTTGCTGCTTAATATTTTTGTGGAAACCATTACATTTGTTAATTTTTCCTAAATCTTACCCAAAACTTTTAAATGTAGTGTATCGTGGTTTCCACAAATAAGCAGCAAAAACAGTTTTCAACATTAAGAAATGTTTCTTTAACACCAAATCAGCATATTAGAATGATTTCTGAAGGATCATGTGACACAGAAGACTAAACTAACTGCTGCTAAAAAAATTAGCATTGCCATCCCATGAATATATTACATTTTTAAAATAGAATACAGTGTAGTGATATGTTAGTGTTTTTATCCAAATCAGCCATGTTGAGCACAGTAGACTTCTTTCAACAAACTTAAATCCTAATTGTTCCAAACTTTTGACATTGTGACTAGTTTAGTGATAACTTCATATTACCATCTTTCGGCTGAATGAAAAAAAAAAAAAAAATTTTTTTTTGCCTGATACCCACTAGTCATTTAATTGTGATTGTTGGATTCCTGTGTTTGCTTTACCATTGACTCTGTCTTTTTAATGTCTGTGCAGAGCCTGCACTTATCGCCAAGTCTTCCATCCTGTTGGATGTCAAGCCCTGGGATGATGAAACTGACATGGCCAAGCTTGAGGAGTGTGTGCGCAGCATTCAGTTGGACGGTTTAGTCTGGGGACAATGTAAGTCAAAATACAGTGTATGTAAGTCAAAAGTTTGGTCCATATTTTGTATTTCAATAGACTAATTGTCACCTGACCTCTCCTGTACAGCTAAGCTGTTGCCTGTCGGCTATGGCATCAAGAAGCTGCAGGTTGCCTGTGTTGTGGAAGATGATAAAGTTGGAACAGACCAGCTGGAGGAACTGATCACAGCCTTTGAGGACTATGTGCAGTCCATGGATGTGGCAGCCTTCAATAAGATCTGAAACCCCACAGTACAAAGCATCAATCAAATAAAAGCACTTCAAATGCACCTTTGTACGTGGTTTATTTTTTTAAATTGTGTTGTGTGGCTTCAAATTGAAAATGTTAAATATTTGTCATGAATGTGCTGCGTTTTAAAGACTTTCTATGAACTTAGTCCAGTTTCTGTCTCTCTTCCTTTTTATTTATTTATTTATTTTTATATATATATATATATATAAAAAACTGTTTAAATGCACTGAGAAATGTATAATATACTGTAGCAAATTGTAACCAATAATTTAACTTTAGATTGATTTGAATGTAATAGGCCAGTTTATTATTTGTTTTTATATTCTCAGGTTTAGCATGACTGTGGGAACTATTGCACAAATTCATAGTTTGCAATATTTATAATGTTACCATCAAGGCATGTAATCAGATATTTCTATAAAGGTTATTTTGTCGCGTTGGTTGAGTTTGCAGCCCATTGATTAAATTTCGCCTCGGAATCTTCTAGTGGGCGGGTTCCCGCGCTTTATTCTTACGTCACTCCACTAGCAGACCTAAGCTAAATACGGCTACCGATGGGATCTAAGTGGAATAACATCTATAATCAGGTGACAGCACGATGAAGACTGCAGCCACATTGTGTTCATGTATTTTGTAGATCATAAATAAGTTAATATTTACTATGTCACGGTCTCGCTGTCCACGTTGTCATGTTAAGTGTCTCTAGCTTGCTAAGTGAACTAGCATAGCTGGCTAGCTTAAACTACAGTTTGTGTGTTCCCAAACAGTGTGGATAGTCTGAAACCGTGTAAAATGTAAGCGTTTTCAAATACATTTTACGTTAAAGTGTATTTATGTGGTAATATTAGGGCGTGCTGTTTAAATGGCCGTGTATGTGTGTGCAGGCCGGTACATATTTGAGTATTAATTTATGAGTAGTTAAAGCTGGACCGTAAAAACACTTCAAATTAATGACAAGTTCATTGTGTACATGTTTTAAAGCATCAAAACTGATTTAAGATACAAATAGTGCTTTATTAATGTATCTTTCGTTTTTAATGTATTGGTTCGTATTATACAAGTAGAATAAGCAAGTGCACTTACAAGAGACTTTTAAGTGTTTTCTAATTCTGCATAATGTATCCTACATCTTTAGATGCGACTTTTAACTTACCACACATGGCTGTACACATCTACGCGATGAAGTGACACGGAAACATTTTTAGTCATTCTCTCCTCCATGTAGGTGAGTATGTTATATATTTAGTATATATATATTTTTTTTATTTAGTATGCCTGTTTATCGAAATGTTTTTTCTTATAGTCTATTGCTTAAGTTTATTTATAAAATACACAACAATACAGCATAAGTAAGTAATTGCATAGCAGTGTATTTATGTTTCTGCAAGGCCCAGAGCAAGAAAGATAAAATATAGTGGAAAAATTAAGTGGATTTGCTAGAGAACACTGTAAATGCATAATAAAAATGTTAACAGTGAAATAGTTCTGAATGTCCAACAGTACAATGATACACCATGCAACTCTCTCTTACTCTGTGTTTGTGTGATTGTTTATAGACAGCACCATGCCCTTGGAGGAGGGACCACCGTCCTCTGCTAAAAGTAAGGCAGTTTTTATATTTCAGTTGTTTTTTTTAGTCATTGAGCACTGGAGAGCCTGGAGGGACTATTAAAATACTAATTATATAATCATACACCGTTAGGATAATAAAATAGATTTTATAATAAAGAACTTTTAAAAGGGAGATGAAAACCCTTCTATGTGTATGTTGTTGATGTAAAATGATATGCCTCCAATCAAACTGTACAGCATTTTGGTACAAATCATTTGTTAGAAATCTAGTCAAACTAGACAAATGCCAACATGGACAGGTTGTGAGACATGTCCTTATCTTCAAAAAATTATGAACAACACTAAAAAAAAAGACTACAATAAATATGGGTAAATGATGAAGATGAACATTGTTCATGAGGAACTGTTGCCTAAAGATATCTAATAAATAAGAACAATTTAAATGTATTAATGGTATTTTTAACATTTGAAAGATCATTATATTTGGTATTGTCTTGGGTCATCACTGATGTCCAGTGCAACATCTGTGTCTTGAAGCTAAACTAGTTGAGAAGCACTGATTTAGAGAATGCATGTAAATGTTTTGTCATGTGTTGTAGAGGCAGAGAGGCGTCCAGCTGACTTGTCCGGCAGGTGAGTTGTCTGAAAATAAATTTGCAGCAGTCCATTATCCATCTCATTATGTGTTTATATTACAAATTTAAAACAAATAAATATCTAAGCCTATTATTTACCCCATCTGAAGGACTAGTAGAGGAGAAGAGCCTGTTGCTGGTCCTTCCAGCTCCCAAAGACAGGGTTACTGCAGCTGCTGTCAAGTTCTGTACAATAGTGTGGAACAGGTACGTAACTCTCCATCATTCCTCCTTTTTGAAATACTGTTGTGGTCAAGATATTGGTCAAAGTATTTGTTAAGTTCGGGTTAATAATTCCATTTTAGCAATTTAATGTGAACCACTACCAAATATATTTATATTGGAGTTTAAAGATTCTAATATCATGCATTTATGATAATCAGACCTGTTTATAATTATTAATATTACGACATTCTGAGTTATTATGGCTTTTTTGTAAACAACTTGTTGTTGTATTCTGCAGCACATCTTGAGTGCCCAACATAGAGAAGTGGTACGAGCTGCTAGAGCCAATGTATCTTCTGGAAGTTTGTTAGAGAGATTCCTTCAGGATGTGCTTCAGCATCATCCTCAAAGCTATAGTGATACACGGTATGGTATCCACATCAGATTTCTTATTTTGCCTTGTTGACATGTTCCCATAACATACTGCATACTTTGAGTTTTGTGAATTGTAGGGATGAAACGATTCACTCAGCTCATGATTCGATTCGATTCACGATTTTAATTTCACGATTCGATTTTCTCACAATTTTTTTAAACAAAATGAGTTTGAAGACATTATACAGTAAATGAAAAGGTGTCCTTTTATTAGGCTATTGCTGCACGTTTCTTTGTGAAATTGAAATATAACAAAACTAAATTGAAATTTTAAAACAAACTAAGGCTTTGTCTATGCTCTTTCCATTTAAAATTAGAGGCAACCACTATATTTTAATTACGATCCAAACAAAGATGCAGCATACATGCAGCATGAGCAGTTTTTAATCTAAATGAAACTGTATAATTTCGAAATTTGAAGCAAAAACAGAATGGTCTGACTTTAGTTTTGTGAAACTATACTACATAAAACATATCTGAACGAAACGGCAGACGAGCTGAATGAGATACAAATTCACTTTCTGCCAGCAGGTGGCACTTATGAACAGCAATGATATAGTGTTTCCTGGGTTACTGCTGTAAACAAAGTAGAGCTGCGCTTATGAACACTACTTTAATATGCATCGTTCAGATGCAAGATGAAAAGAAAATACCACGTAAACTTTTCTAAAGTCAGTTCCCCTCAGAGATACATTCATATAAACTCCTACTACAATTGTATCGCGATTTGTTTGGCATCTCTACCGATTTGAATCGTCACATATTTTAAGCGATTTTCAACCGACTCGCTGTTCATCATTACATCCCTAGTGAATTGCAAAAAAACAGCGTTCACTTGCTGTTTTTGACACCTCTTTTTCTCTGTAGACCTACCCATGCTGATCTACCTTCGCTAACCACCCCACTCATCCCAAAGGAGGTGCTCTCAGAGGTGTACTGTGGATCAGACGATGATGGTGTCTCTGTTGGAACACGTGAGGAGATGCCTACCTCTGATGAAGAGTCCTGTGAAATGCTGCTAATTGCAGCCTCAACTCCAGCAGTGATGACTGACCTTACTGCATCTACACACGTACAAACCACTTCCCAAAAAGGAAAAATGGTGCCTGAACCACCTCCCCCTGAAAAGTACTCCCCCACACAGGGTTTTTTGCACAAGACTAGTGGCAGCTCTGCCAATGACAAACCGAATACATCACAATTGACACTACCTGTTCAGAGACAGAGTTTACAAACAAACCCTTCTGGACATCCCTGTGCTTCAGAGGGTCCACCAGTCGCCAAGACTGGAGCTGTTGAACACAGGAAAGCGCACAAGAAGACCAATAGGGATAAAGAGGGGAGTGACTCCATTACAGCTTACCGTGCCCCACCAGCTGCAAAGTGCATTACCTCAAAGGACCAGCCTTCAACTTTTCGATCAGTGGCTGAAGAGTCCACAGTGTGGATTTCAGCACTGCCACCTTGGAAAGGCCCCCATAGGGAACGGACATTCAGTCATCTGTCTGACCAGATTCGAGATGTGATAGAGGAGGTTATTGAAAAATACTGTTATGGCCACAGTCTCAGTGTCGATCAGCGGGAGGATGATGGTAGCTTCGTTTTGAGTCATCAGTCTATGAGTCAATCCAAAGGCAGTGAAGGATGGGACAATGCAATACAGATGGCGTTGGGAAAGCCAAAGGCTGAAGAAAAAAATTTAGCTGAGTTACTGGAAGTGCATATAAATCTTGAAGACCAAGGATACCAGACTCAGCTGGACACAGCCCTAAACACTGTGGGAACACCTGAGGAAAACAAGGAGAGTTCTGCTGAGAATGTGTTTCCTGATCTTCCCCACATACCACAGTCTTTTGTTGGCAAAACATTGACACAGGTGATGTTTGAAGATGACATGAAGATAGACTCCATAGTAAAAGAATTCCAACAAGGCCAGTTCCGTTGCTATTTTGACAGCGAATCATTAGCTAGGTTTGGGAAGCACAGTAAAAAAAGGAGAAAGAAAAAGAAGCAGGACAAAAATGAGGAGACCGATAACGCTGGGTGGGAGCCTACAGACATCTTGCCACTCATGGATCACAATGAAGAGGACCCCAAACATTCTGCTATTTTGAAAAAGTCTAGGCAAAAAATTTACAGACTTGCATCACGTTGCCAAGTGGTAAAGGTAAGCCACGGTACACAGACCATCCCTCTTATCTGCCCTGTGGTGCGGCGAAAATCGTCACAA